GATAGAAATTGTATTTTAATGTTCGACGAAATAGCTCTAACCGAAAAACTCACTTTTGATACAGTTAATGACAAAAGTGTTGGATATGTTGACTTGGGAAAAAAATTAGGTAGACGCCCAGAAGTAGCCGATCATGCTTTAGTTTTTATGATTCACGGTTTAAGAAGAGTTTGGAAACAGCCTATAGCATATTATTTTACACGTCATGCTATAAATAGTAAAGATCTTATTGAGTTAATTAAAAGAGGTTATTACGGCTCTTCAAAATATAGGTTTAAAGGTTTTAGCAACTGTTTGTGATTTGATGGGGGAAAATAGGGTAGCTTTAAGATCATTGAGAACAAAGGGTGGGACTGTAACAAATTTAGAGCCACATTTTTTTTAAATGGACAGAAAATTATAACTCTTCTTGATGTTTGCCATTTACTTAAGTGCACCAGAAATGCTTTGTTTAATATTCAGTACGATGGAAATAAATACGCCAATTCAGATTTTTTATTTACTTTTTGTTTTAGAAAGGCATCACAAAAAAAATTAAAAAAACTAAAAATACAAAAAAAAAACGAAAAACTACAAAAATACAAAAAAAAAAGAAAAACTACAAAATTACAAAAAAAATTAAAAATTACAAAAAAAAATGAAAAATAAGAAAATACAAAAAAAGTACATAATAAATGCAAAAAACAAAAATCTAATCTATTTTTCTGTTTCAGAATGATCCTGTTGTGTTTACGTTTTGTGTTTATTTTCATTTTATTTACCAATACTATCTCTATATTTGGTTAACAATTTATTTATAATCATTTTTATTTTTTTTATGTAGAGATGGTACTGTTTGTTAGGTGTGCTCCTTTTTTAGAATAAATAAAATAAAAAAAGCATCCTCGGTAATTAGTCCACTGCTTTACCTCCTCGTGGTGGGATGCGGGCAACAGTAAACTGAAAGCAAATTCTCAAAAGAAGATATTTTCAAACCTCAAGAGTTGCTGCTTTTCACTTACTGGCTAAAGTTGGCAAGTACTAACAAATTCTTCAATTAAGCTATATTTTCATAAATTGTAGTAAACCTATACTAAATAATTTTATTGTTAAAGTTCACCTTTATTTTTTATTAATTTATATATAATTAATAGTTATTGTCAAGTTTCACTTTTTCCTCCTTTTGAATTGAAACCTTGCCCTGGTGATGGGCCTGTGTACCTTAATGATTAATTGATAACAGAATTTAAGGGATATCCTTTTTTCGTCTGTTAAAAATGAAAGGTCCTATTAATATCAATCCTGAATTTATTATACATATAATGCAACACATTTATGTGCAGAAAATAAAATTATACTTAATATTTTGAATAACAATTTTTAATCAGATTTATTAAACCAATTAGATTTGTTAATTTAAAGTTAAAACAATTCAAATGGACTATTGCATTATGAGGAATAAACAGAAATAGTTTTTTTCCACACCCACATGGATATAGCTATTCTACTCACAGACTACAAAATGAAAAAGTAAGCCATTGGGTTCAAGTCATATATCCATTCTACCTAGTAAGAACACTGCATGGATATGAAATCGACCAGTCACAGTTCATTATTTGTTCACTGGGCTATTATTAATTTTTTAAATTTTAAATGTCACAATTTTGTCAAACTAATTGTCAGTATATTTTTTAGTTATTGAAATTAATTATGAAAATAAATTAGTAAGTCATAAATTATTTTTAAATTGGAAATTTTATCTTAGTTACCCAAAATAATTTTAAAAAATTGTACATTTTCGTTAGAGGGTCGTAGAAAAAATATACTGTACAACTAGAGTGGATTGTCCTTATCGCACTCAGATGATTGAACACTCCATGTACTGCGTCGTTCTCAATCTTCGTCAAATAATTAAAAATAACTTAGTTTTATAAAAATGGTCAACATTTTGATAAGAGTAATTGTTCAATAACATATATGTACACTTTTTGTTTTGTTTTTATAGGAAACACCTGACGCCCATCAAAGTATGGTCCATTTTTACAAGAATGTGGGGAAACTAGTATTCATTTCACTTACAATTGTTCTTTATTAACACATTATGTATGTATTACTGTATAATAAATAATTTAAATATATTTGTCTTATATTTTATTTCAGTGTAAATATTTTTTACATTTTTGTATACATTTTCTGGGGTTTTATAACTAAAAAAAACTAATATATATGTTAAATACAATATTTTAATATAAATATTAGTTTTTCTTTTTAAAGTAATGAACCCCAAAAAATATAAATAAATAAATAAAGATATTTAAATGAACCGCGGTTACGTTAACACTCTTCTTTTTTTATGCCTCTTACTGACAAATCAATCAGCCAGTGTAGTTCAAAAAAAATCCGTTCCATACTAATTCGCATCACTACGTTTCCAAAGATTAACACAGAATCCGACCATCTTCTTTATTAGTTTATCTATGGCTACTGCTGTAAACGTACAATGACACCGCTGAGGTGCTGATTCGAAATACACCCAAACGCACAGTTGTCATTTTATTATTACTAAGCGACTTTGGAAATAATTTATGCTTGGCATCCATCGTTGATGTCGCTTGCCAAGGAACATGCAAAATTCTAATCGCTTATTATTTATTTTCGTATTTCTCATTGGCTTCAATCTACCGTTCATGGTTTTCTATTTGTTTTTACCAAACTGTTTTATTTAGTTCGCGTAGACTGTGATATCAAATTGAAGTACCGTTTGGTTCAATGGATTTTAATTTGATTGGGTGTTAATTATGTTAAAGTAGTCAATGTTGACCGATATCTATATATTTTCGAATTCCAGAGTTGTATTTAGGCCGTTAGACTATAAAAGATATTTGATTGAAGATATCTTATGAAAAATAATATATGATCTTTTATACAGTATAATCCTCAAAAAATCTTTCAAAAGTAGGCTTCGTCTGGCATACGAGTCATGTCTGTAATAACTACACGCGACTTTGAATTAAATTAAAACTGACACTTAAAAATAAGAATCCTAGGCCTACTTTAGAAACATTTTTCTTATACAATTTTGGTTATAAAATATATTCTAACAAAAGTAATAGTTAGCCTATATATACAGGGTGGACCAGCAGGAACTACGTCGCTTTGGACTATTCCAAGGCTTTTGACTTAATAGATCACGACTTGTTATGTGCTAAACTTAAATACTATGGATGCAGTGATGTTGTTTTATCTTTTTTTAAGACCTATTTATGGAATCGTACTCAACACGTGTCCATCAATGACAGCATATCATCCACCAAAAATATAATTTCAGGTGTACCTCAAGGGTCCATTTTAGGTCCTTTATTGTTTCTTATTTACATCTCAGATTTGCCACGGGTACCGAATAATAGTCAATTACAACTCTATACCGACGATACCCAGCTTTTACATTGCTTTGAATCTTTTAATATTCATAATACCAATAATTCAATTAATGCTGACTTGCAATTGATTTCTCAGTTTTCTAAAGAACACAATTTAAGTATAAATCCATCTAACACCACTGCGGTTCTATTCTGTAGCAAAACGGGATGAAATCGAAAATTCGTTAAGGTTAGAGCTGAATGGTGTTGATGTAAACCTATCTGTCGATGCTAAAAATTTAGGCCTAACTATTGATCAAAATCTTAGGTTTAAAAATCATATAAAAGCAAATTTCAAAAGTGTTATGTAAAGATACGGTTATTATATGTAAATAAACATATTGTAAACTTTAAAATGCGCAAAAAGCTTTGTGAATCTCTTTTACTATCTACACTGAACTATGGTATTCCGATTTATTTTCCCTGTTCAGATAAAGTCTCTCAAAACCAGCTCCAACGTGTTCAAAACAATTGTTGTAGATAATTTTTTAATCTCCGCAAATTTGATAATATTTCACCTCAGTTTACACACAGCTTACTTAAATGGATAAAAATTTGCAATTTGTTTCAAATTACCTTTCACTTTTATATAGATTAGTAAAAACACATATAAGCTTGTCTATTTATTTAAGAAAATTTTATTTAGGAGCTCTATGCATGACATTAGACATAACACCCTTACAATGCCTCACCACTCGTCTGCAATGTTCGAAAGGTCTTTTACATATAACGCCGTCAACGCTTTTAAATTTTTAAACTGGAAGAAATCGTGGTATTTCTTTGGGCGAACTACAAAAGAACATTTTTTAGCGCTAGACAGTAGCCTTTTTTTATTTTTTATTGTTGTTAATCGTATTTTTCAATAATCCTATTTTCATTTTTTTTTTTTATTTGCTATTATTATGTAATCCTAGAAGGTTAAGAGTTAAAGAATAGCTCTAAGCTAAATTGTACATTTAACAAATAAAGACATTTTATTATTATTAACTTTAAATGAACTCATTCATAATGATGTAAATTACAACGGCGAGAGTGTATATTAGAAAAAAATGGATCGTTGGCTTTTCAAAGTAATTGAGATTATCCAGTTCCAGAAGGAATTTAATAAAATTAAAATCCTAACTGAAGCTTACAAACAACTTAAAAATCTGGTATTTAAGTATTAACCTTCGTAGCAATGTAACATTTAGGCATTTGGGAATGGAGGGAATTGGTATCACTGGGTAAGTTGACAAACGACGTATTTAAAATTGACAATTAGACAATCCAATATCCTATGAGAATGAACAAAAACGGCCGATTCTTGGCGAAAACAACAAAGTTTGTTAACCTGTAAATCATACAATTATTACTCCTACATTAAAAATATATATTAAATTCGCCATTTTTTAACTCCAAAAACAACTCTCAACACTCAAAAAAAAAAAGTATTGCAAGGTGACTTAATTTCGTATCTGCGAAAGGAGTGTGTCTTCAAATTAAATCACTGTCATTATTTTATCATAGAGATCTACCCCCACTCTTTCTAAACAAACAGGCGACCGTTTAACATAACTCGTACATAATTTTAAAATAATAAAAGGAATTGTTTTTTTGTCTTACCTGATGCTGAACGCTGTGTATGTGCCGAACATGCGGCTCTTCGAGCAACAGGTTAGGGTCTCTCCAGACCCTTACCGGCTCGTTGCTAACTTCGTGGTGTCTTTGTTGTATCGATGACGCCGGCGAAGAAGCTGGGATGTACAAAGGTGACCTGCAAACCAACAACCAAACATTTATACTTGTACGATTTATTCTAGTTAGTACGAAATAATACTTTTCCCACGTTGGGCGCCAATTGGATAGCATTAATCAGAAAGGCTCCAACCAACATAATGTTAGAACTGAGAAAAATGAGGTTAAAGTTGAACTGTATCTTTAAAGAGTAATTTTAAAAACTATTTTTATTTATCAATTTACGTTTTTTCTTACGATTTTTAAAATAAAAATTGGTGTAGTTTTTTTTGTTATTATACTTTTTTTTTGTAATTTTTTGTGGGTTGGTTCCTTTCTGATATTTAAAAAAAAAGTTAAAAAAAATCATGAAAGAACCATTTCTCTGAAATGCAATCAATTAGAATGGAACCAATCAACACAATGTTAAATCTGAGAAAAATGAGGTTTAAGTTAAATTGGTTGCTAAATCTAAATAAATTAAATACTACTGATTTTGATTTATCAAAAATTTAAGTAATTTTTTGTACGATTTGTAAAATAAAAATAATTACAGTTTTTTTTTTGTTCTTACGTTTTTTTTAACCATTTTTGTAGGTAGGTTCCTTTCCGATATTTTGAGAAACAGTGTAAAAAAAAGGTAAGAGAACCATTATGCAATTGGTTCCTTTCTCTGAATTAAAATAAAAGGTATTATGGAGATTTAGAAAAACAACCAGTTTCTTAAAAAACAATATGCATCATAATATATTGGTTTAAGAATGTTTCCTTTTTCAGAAAAAAAAAATCATTTAAAGAAATCCTATAAAGGAACCAATATCGATTGGTTTCTTTTTGTTAAATATACCAATGCTTATATTATAAAAATATATAGAGTACAAAAACTAAAGAAAAATCACCATTTGAGTCTTGGTTCTGTTTTGCTAAAAATAAATAACAATTCCTATTTAAAAGTGCAATTATCTCAGATTTGTTCATTTTGTGAGTTGGTTCCTTTCTGATTAATGCTGTCCAATTCATGTATATATAGTAAGTTAAAATCTCAGCATCTCATATTTTAAGGTAGTTCATTCGTGACACAAAAATATCGCCTAATGGTGAATACCAAAAGTTCGAGATTCTCAATGCTAAAGGTACCATTTGGGTAGGCGCGACAGACGACCGCCGACGCGACATACGTCCGCCGACGCGACCGAGAAGTGTCGCTTCACATCTAAAATACATACAATTATATGAAACACATTTCGCACGGCGCGACACGAGAAGTGTCGTCAAGACGACACTTCTGAATCTGCCTCACTGATCTGTATTATTTTACTGGATAGGATATAGGCTATATTTAACATACTAACAAATCGTTCCACCAAGGAGACCGGAAGTGCAACAATGCTGGCCGATTTGGGCAAATTATGGTGGGTTCACAGAACAAAAATTTGGGATAATTTGACATACCTAACCTATAATTTGATTAGTTTTTCTTCTTCTATTCCTTTTGCGGGCGATGTCCTTCGGGAAATTTCACCCATGATTTCATTTTTTATGAAACAAAATATAAAAATGGAAACGTGAAGCATATTGTGTCTTCAGGAATGAACGTTTATTGTTTATTTCATACTCTTTTTACTTTGTTTTCCACAATAAAAACATCTCATCGTAGCTTGTTGACACAATTTAATGACAAATGTGATGACAAATGGAAATAGAGTTTACGCGGCCAATTTTTCGGAACGTTTTTTAGGGGGCTATATCCTATCCAGTAAAATAATACAAATCAGTGATCTGCCTTGGGGCAAAGGTTTGCTGCGTGTCGCACTCGGGGTCACTGTCCTCGAGCATCGGTTCATTTTGAGGGTGATTAGGATGGACATTTCTTTCGATCTAGGCGGCGTTGCCAGATTTTGGAACAGTATGGGTAAAAAAAACCGTAGATCTGAACAGTAGATTTTAATACAGGAGGAAATAATTATAATTTACAGTGTAGTAAATAAAAAAACAAGTATATAAGAAACGAAAAATAAACTTTTTTCTACCCAAATTAGAAAGTAAACAAAGAATAAAAACAAATGAAAACATTTTTATTATATACATAACGTACGGGAAAAAACCAATGAAAAATAATAAGTACCTACTTCTTTTAGATCAGTCTGAATCAGATAATTGAAGATCGTAGTATTTGGCATATGCATGTTTTTTTTATGATGCCCTATTAATTCTTTGTTTCATTTTAAATAAAAACAATGATTATCTTGATGTTTTTTTTTATGGAGCCAACCTACAATAGTGGATGCTTATTACGCTGCTTTTACTGCAGAACATTTACTAGAGAAAATATTCTTTAACCATTTGCTAATGAATGAGGCAAACTTAATAAATTAAGAACAAAATTTACTAGAGACAAAAACACTGGATCTACGTAAAAACAGTAGGTCTGGCAACGCTGATCGTTCCCTCGAATGGTTATTTGCAAGTGTCGCGCGACACTTCTTCAAGCTTCCGAAATGTACGGAGCGTAACATTTATGCATCTGTCGTCCTACTGGTCTCCTCAGTGGTCTCCTGTCTCTTGACGCGGCTACCGAAATAGTACCTTAATAAATGTTATTTTTATAAATACGGATACGTTATTATTTCTAGTAAAATCCATCCGGCAACGTCGCAAATATATGAATGGTGAGTGTGTATACCTATAGAAATTTGTGATTTCCTCATACTAATTTTAAGGGTTTATTTTGGTTCAAACAAAATCGTCGATTCCAGTTCTCAAATACAGTGGACGAATTAATTTTTCAAGAACACGTCGCGAGGTTGTAACAACGTCTTAACGGATCGAAAGTAATTCAGTGATTCTGAACTAGTTTCCGAAAGAACCAAAACAAGCCCAAAGTAATCTAACATACATTTGAGTTACCGCGCGTTAAGTGTAGCGATAACAAGGTTGCCAAGTCATTGTACCACACTACCCTTTAACTGCTTTAAAAATATTTTTATTTTAAAAATCTTTATCTTTTTACCAAAACGGTAAAAAAATTCAGCGTTTTTTAGAAAATTTTATGACTTCTTGATTTATATACATTAGTTTTTAAAAAAATATAGTAAGAACCGTTTTCGAGATATCTTGAAATAAATGCATTGCTTGTGTATATGACAGCCTTCAAGAGTGTTAATTATGCACTTTTTGATTGTTATTATCTTCTTTCACAGACGGTCAAAAATTTATTTATTTTTTTAGTTACGTAAAAGACACTTTCATTAACCTTAATATTTCAATTTTATTGAATTCTTAAGAAAAGCCGTTTTACGAGTGAACTACCTTAACACGTTGAAGGACAGTAAACTTTTTTACAAGATACCAATCTAGGCTCTACAGTTTTTGCAAGAAAACTAATTTTTATACATTATTAGTTATTACTATTAGAAAAAAATAGTAAAAACCCAATCACTGACGTTCGAACGCGCTGTGACAGTAGCAGTTGGATATCATTATATCGTATGGTAAAGGCAAACGCTAAACGACGCGTCGTGTCATTTTCCACTATCAATCAGAAGACGCATATCAGTGTTGTATCACATCACAACTTCAGAAAAAGACGCTGTTCTGCGTCTCTGTCCTTCAACGTGTTAAAAGAAGTTCTAATGGTATCCTATATATTTGTTAAATGTCAGATATTTTTTATCCATACCCAGTTAGCTCACATCATTTCAGAAGGGTTTCAGAAATATTTCAAACATCTAACATTTCAAGAACAAATTTCTGAAATATTTTAGCTAAATAAAAAACAACTGTCTTGCATAAGAATTTTTTTGAACGTTCAATAATAACGCCAGATGACACTAATATCTTGGACTAACTTTTCGTTCAAAAAAATCATGGAGTGATTAAAATAAACATGTACATTTTTAAATGTCTTTTTTTAGTCTAATAAAATTAATACAGTGTAATATTGCATTTAAAAGCTATTTTGATATTCCAGAAATATTTTAGAAACGTTTGTACAACGTTTCATAATATTTATGAAACAAAACTAGAGTACATTTCTGAAATATTACTATGTAACATTTCTGAAAGATGTCAAATTTTTATTTAAGAAATATTACTGTGAAATGTTAAATTTACAGAACATTTTTACAATTTAGGCACATTTTAGAAGTGTTTCTGGGACGTTTCGTAATATTTATATATTTGGAAGCATTATATTGTTAGAATCAGCGAAATAGGAGAATGGCGCCATTGAATCTGAGGCGGTACCACCTTAGAATATAAAGTATATGCTATTTTATATTCTAAGGGTACCACAATGCTTCCGACGCAGCATCCAAGAGAGAACGGAGACACTTGAATTTTGATCGGCCGGACGCAAGCAAATAAACATTTATGCCCGTTTAAGAAATTCTTTATTTTGTTCCTTAATTAAATTTTAAACATTGTTTAGTAGATTTTTAATAAAACATATAACTTGTAACACGTGTTTTGTGAAGTGGCTAGGGTGTTATAGTATACAGGGTGTTTAAATCATTTATAAAATAATAATTTTGAAGTTAATTCGATTAACTTCTAACAATATATTCAAATATCATCGACTAGTATTTTTAGGTATAATAATTATTTAGAGTTTAAACACGTCTTGCGATGACTAAATCAACGGTTTTAACTTTTGTTGTAAAATAGGATTTTCAATACTTAAACACGTTTTCTAGTATTTTTTAAACATAATTACGTGTTTTTAATAAATAAATATTTTTTTATTGTCTGACAGATAATACATACAAAGATAAGACAACATATAACATCAATAGATTTTTAAGAATAACAAAACAATTAGCAAGATAGTAATAAACAATAATAAAAATGGTAACAAAATATAGATAAAGCTAAAAATAAATATTGTAAATTGAGATTGACGTTGTGCAAAACATGTGCATCTAATTGGTATGTTGTAAAATGTTTTAGTTGTTTTTTGGGTTTTCGCAGTATTTTGAGCTTTGGTTACGTCCTTTAACTATTTTTTAAAGAATTTAATTTATTTTGCACTTATTTAGTGCTTTAACATTTTCTGTAATGACTAATTCAGATGTTTTCCATTGATTTTTGTTCGTATAATGATAATTGTTCCAGTTTTTTTAAAGATTTTCAATAGACCCATCTCCATATTGCGCAAATGCTACTTCCTCTTAAAATCAACAAAATTTGTTGTTATTATGTCTCCTACTCCAATTGTCAGTTACAGATAAGCAAATAATATAATTTTGTGTTTTTTGCGTTTGAATGTCTTTGGCTTTTATGCCAAAAAAGGAAGCAAAGCACCTCGGGAATTTTGAGTTGAAACATATGCCACATTTTTAGGCTATTTTAAGGCTATTTTTATACCCTATTCAAAAATTTTATGCTCCTCGTTTTTTGCAAAAATCAAGGTGCTCTGCTAGCTTCGAACGAAGTCAGCAGAGCACCTCAGTTTTTAAAGCTTTTTTCCAAAACCAACGACACCATATTTTTAGGCTATTTTTAGACTCTTAAAATATTATAAAACTTTTCTAAAAAATTTGTTATTTTTAAAAAATACAGGGTGCTTTGCTCGCTTCGAAGGAATCTAGCAGAGCAGCTCAGTTTTTTAAAGCTTTTTTCTAAAAACAACTACACCACATTTTTAGGCTATTTTTAAGCTCTTGAAATATTATAAAACTTTACTAAAAAATTGCTATTTTCAAATAATACAGGGTGCTTTGTTGGAGCAAAGTCAGCAGAGCACCTCGGTTTATTATTTTTTTTTTTCAGAAAACTAGTTATGCTACATTTTTAAGCTATTTTTAGGCTCTTAAAACAATAGGTATATAACTTTTCAAAAAAAAATGTATTTTTTTAAAGAATACAGGGTTCTTACTGATTTTTATAACAACTTATTTAACAATAGAATTATGTCAAATAGGTCATTTTTTAAGGGTTACTATTGAAGTTATTAATGTTACTTTTAGTCAATTTAGTCACGTGAGATATGAATATTATTGAAGACTCTGCGTATGAGTAAGTATTATGATATGATTGATATTTAGATTTGATTTGAACATTTACTTTGCAATTTTAATACCTATAATCAACAGGTATGGAATTTTTAACACGGTCACTACCTTGTAATTGGTATTTACACCAATTTTGATTCAATCAATCCCAGCTGAAACAACTTATTTGTATATTGTTCATCATTGATTTCGATTATTTTTTCCGCATTGATATAATTAATCGTAGAAATTAAAATGTTTGTTAATTAAGGGTTTTTTGCAATGAGCATATCCTAATCTTAATAAGTATTTAATACAAATTTTCTTTTAATTTGACTTTTTGTAATCGCAGCGAGTGTCCAAATGATCTATCTACTTTGAGTTATATAAAGTTGAACATTATATAACTGGTTATGTCATAAATATGTTCATGATTGCGAAAAGAAAATAAAAGAAACCTTTTTTTTTTGAATAATTTATATTATTTCAAGAGCCTAAAATAGCCTAAAAATAGCCTAAAAATAGCCTAAAAATGTGGTGTAGTTGTTTTTAGAAAAAGGCTTTAAAAAACCGAGGTGCTCTGCTGGATTCGTTCGAAGCTAGCACAGTACTCAGTATTCTTTAAAAAATACATTTTTTTTAAAAAGTTATATATTTTTTTAAGAGCCTAAAAATAGCTTAAAAACGTAGCATAACTAGTTTTATGAAAAAAATATAATAAACTGAGGTGCTCTGATGACTTTGCTCCAACAAAGCGCCCTCTATTATTTAAAAATAGCAATTTTTTTAGTAAAGTTTTATAATATTTCAAGAGCCTAAAAATAGCATAAAAATAGGGTGTTGTTAGTTTTGGAAAAAAGCTTTAAAAAACTGAGGTGCTCTGCTGACTTCGTTCGAAGCTAGCAGAGCACCTTGATTTTTGCAAAAAACGAGCAGCATAAAATTTTTGAATAGGGTATAAAAATAGCCTTAAAATATGGTGTTGGTTTTGGAAAAAAGCTTTAAAAAACTGAGGTGCTCTACTGACTTGGTTCGAAGCTAGCAGAGCACCTTGATTTTTGCAAAAAACGAGGAGCATAAAATTTTTGAATAGGGTATAAAAATAGCCTAAAAATGTGGCATATGTTTCAACTCAAAATTCCCGAGGTGCTTTGCTGCCTTCTTTGTCATTTGGCTTTTATTATGGAAATGTGCCAAAACTACACCCACCGAAACACGATGACAGCAGTTGTTTAAAGCAATTATGAAAGAGGATAATCATTTTAGCTAATCTAATACTTGTAGTTAAGAGGGTCGGTGGTGTAGCAGTCTAACGCGCTTATATTCATTTATAGACAAGTTTATGGTCCGAGACTGCCGGGCTTCGAATCCCAGACCAGACCATGTGGATTTTTAATTAAATTGCATTATTCGGTATAGGATTTGATGTGTGCCGTATTAATAGAAATTCAATTTCTGTTGATATGGCATGCAGATTATAAAATCGCCATGCATTACCGTCTCGATGATGGTGGGTGAGGTTTTCCGGGTTTACCTCACCTGTAAGTCAAATGGCACCATCAATCATCTATAAGTCGCCCCGGAGCGCCACGGCAAATAATAATAATAATAATAATAGCCGTCCCTTTCCCCGCACAAGCTCAGCTTTTGGGGTTAAAATTCACTCGTAAGGGGGTGAATTAGGGAGAGTATTATTATTATTATTATTATTACTACTATTATTAAGAGACAGATTGTTTGGAAAATTACTAGATTCAAAGGCGAAATAGCAAGATAGACAAATAGTCCAAAATCTTTATTATTTCGAAAAAACTCGTAAATAATCACTTTGAATTAGACGTTTCAGTAATAGGTTTCAGAAATAGGTGTAAAATAATTTAATATAAAATAAAAGACAGCAAGATAGACAACAAATAGTCCAAAAATATTTTTTCGCGCATGAGCAATACGAAATAATCGAATAACGGGATAGGTGTATTATATTGCACTAATTTATATATTGAGTCTTGTCTGTAAAATAATTACAAATGTTCTAATTTTGCTGAATAATAATGCTATTAATATCTAAACATATTTTCTAGTATGTTTAAAGCAAATTACGTATTTTGAATATTAAACACGTCTTGGTAATTTTTCTCGATCTTTCACTATTTTAGCTTTTTTAATATTATATTGGGATGCTATTAAATTGCAGTTTTCAGTAGTAAATTCGACCAAAACTATTGATAAAACATTTAAGAAGCTAACTTCACGCACCCCTTCACTTTTATTTTATTAAAATAAAGATTGTCTGCTCGGATTTCATTAATCGTTCTAGAAACGTATCCTAAACAACCTTCTATTTCAATTTAATTATTTAGTAAGAAGTCGGTAAGGGACGTTGCGTTGACTCACCTGTTACGTGACGTCTGCTGAGGCAGGCCTCCCGCAGAAGACGGGCGGTGGTAAGACGATGTCGCCGCCGGGACGCTGTTGTGGCCGCCGCCGCTACTGCTGCTGCTTGACGACGACGACGATGAGGAGGACGATGAAGTGGGTTCGTCGGTGGAGCTCAGGGCGCTCGATCTAGAACCCGATCGCTCATCGCCACTGCTGATACACGAACGCAATGAACTCACGCCCGAATCGCTGCGATCATCCGGAAAGCGCAGAAGCAGTCCGCACCCTGATGGTGATGCCGACGATGCGTCCGAAACGCCTCCAACGACGCCGCCGATGAGATCCATTCTGCTGACGACGTAGGGAGAAGGCGAGGACGACACCAACGGCACGTCATCGTCACCTGCAAGAGAAACAACAACATTAATAAATGCAATTGTAAATTCTTTACCAAATTCAATAAATGAAGACACAAGTGGATGAATAATACAAAATATTCAAATTTAAAAATTTTCAAGGATTCAAATATTGTCACTTTTGAAGTGACAGAAGAATCAAATTGTGGAACTTTAGCTTGAAAATTTATTAGTAAATCTAATGGCGGTTTTCAATCAAACGGACAAAACAAAAACAAATCAGAAACTCGTGTCGAAAAAAACAAAACTGCAACTTTTCGCAAACTGACGTGTTTTGCGACAGTTGGAATTTTGTTTCTCGAGTCCCGCTCAAAATTGGTAACATCAAAAGGTTTCGACGTGTTTAGAAACTCGAGTATGTTTACTGGAAACGGTCGTGTTGTGCTGTTGTGTAATCTAAATTTTGGAGCAAATTATTTTTATAAATATTTTTAGTTTGGACATCTTAAAAGATAAAGACACTGGTTTGTTTTAAAATAGTCAAGTTCTAGAAAAAAACACAAACAAAACATAAACTCAACTGTCCGTTTAGTGGAAAACCGTTATAACAGAGTGCTTATCTTTGTACTTTTCTTTATTTACATTTTGACTACCTACAAATTAAATTAACTAAGTACGATATCGATAATAAATTTGTTTAAAAACGAATTATTTAAAAAACATAGAATTACCTACATAAATGAAGAAGATGATTTTCTCCTGTATCACATCATCAGATATTAATCAAATTTATACGGGACCATCCCTGAAGTACCTTCTTTGACACAAGAAAAAAATACAGTGATAAAGAATTATCGTTGAACATACATTAAAAAATATATATTCCGGCGAACTGAGAACCTCCTCCTATTTTTTGAAGTCTTTTAAAAAAAACATGCTGATTTAAACATACAGTGCTTTCTTTCTTTCTATAAAAGATGTGTTTAAAAAATACCCCGGGGTACTCAGTTTAGCATCTAGGTATTTTAGGTATAGATACACATTTTAGCAAAAGGAAAAGCAAGTACTTTTTGAAAAGAAAATTTTAAAAAATTAACCTTTAAATTTTCTAATAAGAAAGTAATGACTTATCTAATGTAATTCTTCCACAAATTACTTTTGGGATCCATTATCATTCGCAAAATTTCAAATATACTTAAAAAATAATACTAGATACCTACCCTATATCTATATAAAATTTTCAATGACATTTCATTGGATTTTTTTTAATGAAAAATTTGAACAATGGAGTAGGTAGTACCTACGTACTTAAATTTAACTATTTCATTCGTAAAAATATTAATTAATATTCATGTCCGTTAACTATATCCTCATGGATGACCTCCATTAGACCTTGACATTCAGCTTGTTTACAAACACGATATGTATCACATATTTTCCCATTGTTTCGACAAAAATATTTGTCTGACATGTAAATGAAACATGGGTACATTTTTGCTACTCTGTTTACAAGTTTAAAAAATGATGATAATAGGTATTAATCATTTTGAACGGGTGTTTTTTTTAGCATCAAATAATTGCGCAAGTTTGTTTGTCAGTATGAAAATAGAATTATTATTATTAAAAACAAACAAATAAACGTGTAGTGTGTATCCTTAAAAAGTGATTAAGTCGGTTTTAACAAAGATGGCGCTACTAGTATCAAAGCAACGTTGCGTTTCGTAAATAATTACTATCCTTCTGTCAAATTTTGAACTGTTTAAGTTAATTTGCATTTGACAGCTCATAGCCATTAAAAACGAACATCTTTTGCATTGCATCCACCATAGTATCTAATATATTTGCAAAATGGAAGAAATGGGATTATTTACAAAATTTCTGAAGCCAACACGTATTCTCAATCTAAGCGCCCTTGGCAGAAATGCAATATTCTGATTAAACAGTGCAGCCAAGTTTACGGAGTAGTAATCGATATTTGTAGAAGTAGTAAATCTGGTTTTTCGTTTGTTAGATATTTTGCAGTTGGGTCGTTTCATATCAAATCAACCAAATCAAAATTTGGTACACTGATTCTATATGGGTGGGATGAAAAATCAAAATATATATATTTTTTTTGATCAGTAGGTAGTTTTTTTTTATTAATTTTCAAAATCGAAAAATTGACCAATTTTGGTCCAAAACAGCTTCACAAAAATTTGAATATCTTGAGGACCACTTATCGTAAATCGATGAAATATAGCTTGTTGTAAAGGTACCATTTCGGTAGGCGCGTCAGGAGACAAGAGACCACCGAGACGACCCTATGGACGACAGATGCATAAATGTTACGCTCCGTACATTTCGGAAGCTTGGAGACGGGTCGCGATACACTTACATTATAAAGGTACCATTTCGGTAGCCGCGTCAAGAGACACGAAACCACTGAGGACACCAGTAGGACGACAGATGCATAAATGTTACGCTCCGTACATTTCGGAAGCTTGAAGAAGTGTCGCGCGACATTTGCAAATAACCATTCGAGGGAACGATCAGCGTTGCCAGACTTACTGTTTTTACGTAGATCCAGTGTTTTTGTCTCTAGTAAATTTTTTTCTTAATTTATTAAGTTTGCCTCATTCTTCAGCAAATGGTTAAAGAATATTTTCTCTAGTAAATTTTCTGCAGTAAAAGCAGCGTAATAAGCATCCACTACTGTAGGTTGGCTCCATAAAAAAAAACATCAAGATAATCATTGTTTTTATTTAAAATGAAACAAAGAATTAATAGGGCATCATAAAAAGAACATGCATATGCCAAACACTACGATTTTGAATTATCTGATTCAGACTGATCTAAAAGAAGTAGGTACTTATTATTTTTCATTGGTTTTTTCCCGTACGTTAAGTATATAATAAAGATGTTTTTATTTGTTTTTATTCTTTGTTTACTTTCTAATTTGGGTAGAAAAAAGTTTATTTTTCGTTTCTTATATACTTGTTTTTTTATTTACTACACTGCAAATTATAATTATTTTCCCCTGTATTAAAATCTACTGTTCAGATCTACGGTTTTTTTTTACCCATATTGTTCCAAAATCTGGCAACGCTGTCTAGATCGAAAGAAATGTCCATCCTAATCACCCTCAAAATGAACCGATGCTCGAAGACAGTGAACCCGAGTGCGACACGCAGCAAACCTTTGCCCCGAGGCAGATTCAGAAGTGTCGTAAGGAAGTGTCGTCTTGACACTTCTCGTGTCGCGCCGTGCGAAATGTGTTTCATATAATTGTATGTATTTTAGATCTGAAGCGACACTTCTCGGTCGCGTCGGCGGTCGTCTGTCGCGCCTACCGAAATGGTACCTTAAAGACACATGATCTATTTTAATTTCATGTTTTTTTTTTTATATTTTGAAAAAACATTATTTGATTTTTTCAAGTCATTTTTGTTTTTTTTTATTAATTTTTTTTTTTATCAATGTTTTGGCAAAATATTTGCCAAATTTCGAGATGGAGAAATTGTGGGTTCACGGTCAAAAAAAAAAAAAAAAAAAAAAAAAACCAAATAAAAACAACAAAAAATCTGAAGAAAAATGTTCCAAATTCGTATTATCATGCATATATGTGTATGGGCTGTAGGAAAAAGTTAAAAAGTTCTATTTTAAATATTAATTCTGTATAGGTCAATTAAAGATTATATGGCAAGAGCAGTAAAAAAATTGTGCAAGAAAAGGGTATTTTGTTGCCGGGAAAAAAAGACTGTGTAGTAATTAAAAAAAAGACCGCAAATATGAGCAAAAAAATTACTTTTGGTCAACTTAAAAAAAGTTTATGCTTTGTTTAAAAAGGAGTGCCCAGGAATAAAAATTGGCTTCACCAAATTTTATGAACTTAAACCAAAAAACTGCATCTTTGTCGGAAAAAGTAGCACACAAAGAAAAATTAAAACAAAAAACTATTTGTAAATATTTTTTTCATAATAAGTAATTACATTTCTTGTAAAATTTAGTTAGTCTTAAGAAAATTACAAAAATAAGGCCAAAAATGTTCATAATTTTTACTTTTTAATTAGATTTTCACATGTTTTCTTATTGTTTTTATTTTTTGTCATACTGAACCCATAATTTCTCCATTTTGAAATTTGGCATATATTTTGCCAAAGCGTTGATAAAAAAAATAGATGAAAATAAAATAGGTCATGTGATACATCGTTGGAAAGGTGTTTGAATTACCTTTACAACGAGCTATATTTTATTGATCTACGATAAGTAGTTCTCAAGATATTCTAATTTTTGTGAAGTTGTGTTGGACTAAAATTGGTAAATTTTTCGATTTTTGAAAATAAAGAAAAAACTACTGATCAGGAGAAAAAAAATATTTTGGATTTTTCATCCCACCCATATAAAGAATCAGTGTACCACATTTTATCAAGATCGGTAGTGACAATTCTAATCAAAGAACATTCCCTTGTAAAATTTAAGGAAAGATGGGATGAAACAAGAAGCTGCAGACTTGTCAGGGAACATTTAAGTTATCCTGACAACATTACAATGAACAAATACTTGACTATGCCTGATCATAGGAATTCTGCACATTGCCAACTACGGAAGCATCTCCATGTCATGGGGTAAGAAAATGAGACCATGGAGCATATCCTCTACGATTGCCCGACGCTCTCATTTATTAGAAGTTTTGTATTCGACTAGAATTGGCTAACACCGGCCGATATAAGACAAGCGACGTTGTCAAATATATTATTCTATATGCTGGCTCACGAGTTAGGAGATGCCTATCTATTTAGGAGGATGCACAATGGACCTAGTGAGGCCTAAGTGTAGTGGGTGAACCCAACCTCCACACGTTACAGATACAAATGTGTCGCATGGGGGGGTTGATGGGGAGTAAGTTATGTATTTTGCCATTTAAGTTCCTCTTTCTTATACTAGAACCGGCTTAAGGATTTAAAAAATTTGGCATTTGAATAAAAAGCGTAACATTTAGGTAACAAACGGGGTATTTGGATACTTTGGCGTGCTGCGTGGCAAGCAAGATAAAAAGTGTGGCAATTATGCCTAAAACGTGGCATCTGACAATCCAAATACTTTTAGAAAACAATGAATATCTGCTGAAATTATAAATAAGAATAACAAATAATTAGCGAGAAAATTAAATGATATTAAATATTTCCCTTTAAGGCTGATACGCACGGGAAGTTTTTCAATAAAGCACCAGAATGATGACAAGCGATCTGCTATGTTATGCCAACATAATCATCTCACTCCGATTTAGAGATGAAATTATTTAGGCTTTAGCTTCACAACAAATACACTTTTATCAATGACTAATTGGGGATGTGGAAATGGCTCTGTGGTAAGAGATTTGGTTCGAACGAAGAACTAAAGAGAATATGTATTTATCAAACTTTGAATGTGTTGATAGCGGGTTATAATAAACAAATGTTTTAGAATATGTATACTATAACAAGAGCTGAAATGTTCACTTTTTGTTAGCAATACTTAAATTTCATAGCGATTGTGGAGACATTCAAATAGTGTACTAACTTGAGAGCATCAAAGATTTAAAATCACTGGGCAACTCTTTATTTAAGAAAACGATTTTAGAACAGATTTTGCAAATACTTATCTAAAAACCCTCGTATACATTAAAACAAAAAAAAAACATTGAAATAAACACAGATAAATAAAATACGAAAATACCTACCAGGTGAATCACCTGCAAAGAAGGTCAACGCTTTTTCCCATAATTTTAATTAGGTATAATTTCCTATAGTTCAAGGATTTTTATAATTTATCAATGCAGATAAATGGAATCAAAACAATTTACTTCGAGACAATGTCGAATGAAGGTCGTTGACGGATGTTTATCTTTGTACCTAGTCCCCGTTTTTTTTTTTTGGTAAATTATTTTGATTTCTTCAAATGGTATTGTAATCCACGTATATTGTTTCCGTTTAGTATATAAATATTTTGGCTTCACGAAAATAGATTATTGGATGTCAAGGTGAAATAGAGGGCATTTGTTTTTTTTTTTAATACTTAACTGTGATTATAGATAAACTATATTAAAAAAATTTAGTTATAAAATAAGTACTTACTACAAAATGAAAAAAGATAGATAATAAATTTATGACTTAGGTGTGACGTAAATATGTAATCAAGATTGAAGGTTGTTCAGGTGTAATTTTTAATTTAATTTTAATTATTTTTATAGAAAATCAATGATTAATATTATTAATGTTTCAAATAAGTAGATACGTATATTTAAATAATTAATCTGTTAATATGTATGTACTTAATGTGGATTTTCACAAAGGTTTTTTTTTTACATACATACTTTTAATTGCAGAAAAATGTTTTTAAGAAGCAAATGCCCTTGGTGTAAATAGGATGCAAGCCACAATTTATCGTGAAGTTACTGTTTTAGCTCAAAATATATCTGTTAACAAGAGTACATACAATTTTTTTACCTCTAATCCGAAGATGAATGTTTCATAATATTTATATTTAAATATTTTTTTTTTTATTTAACAGATTTAAAACAAATTTAAAATTCAATTTTCTCCAAACTTACGATGAGACATGTAACTTTATTACGCCAAGGTCTTCAATTATTTCATGGCTTTTTTGCAGCGCGGTTTTACTTAAGGTAAAGGCAACCAGTACTAGACACAAACCTATTTTCTAAATCTGGATTAGTCCTTGGGACGCAGCAGCGCCATTCAAAAATAGGCAAGATTTAAACAATAAAATAAGTTAAGAGAATTACATAATGGGGTAATTTTATTGAAAAAGAAAAAATAATATTATTTAGACCAGCAGATTCGGATACTTGGACAGAGAATATAAAAGATGAATCGCTCTTTAAATGTTATAGACATGCATGGATAAAACAAAAGAACTTACAAAATAGTTTAAAAGAACTTCAAGATAAAAAAATCAACAGACAAGAAAAAAAAAAGAAGAAATAAGCCCAACAACACCTCTTTTAAGTAATGAAAATCCTTCAACATCGGAATTGAAAGAGGAACAGCGACAGCCTGAACCACATGCTAGCAATTGCTTTAGAGCTGATCAAATTACCCCTGCATCATCCCCTTCAAAGGAGGTTTTTCTTACACCAAATAACAAAGACGAAAATCTAGATCCACTAGTACCATCACCTTTTAAAGGTGTCCTTAGATGGCCAGGTAAAATAAAAACAAAACCCAAGCGAAGAAGGAAAGAACACATACCATCTGTGGCTACTTCTAAGCTTAGTAATTATATTATGACAAGAAGGAAGACGCTATGAAACAGCTGGAAGAGGATAAAAAGAGAAGAGCACAAGAAAGACAAGAAAAGAAAAAAATGAGGGAACAAATAAGAACAGAAAAGAGGGAACAAATAAGAACAGAAAAGAAGCACCAACCTCAAAGCAACTTGTCTAAGATAAAAAAAAAAACGCAAATCAAAGAAAAGTGAAGTTTTATCAGATACTGAAATCGACGAAGATGAACGGGTAACCTCCGCTGATATTCTTGATGACCTAAGTTCAGAATGTCCATCTTCAGATTCTGAATATCTTAACTTATCAACTTCTGTTTTTACAAATATTCCGAGGGAAAAATAAACAACATAAATATGTTTGTATTGTACAAAAGATACTTTCAGATAGTAAAGTGAAAGTTGTTGGTTTTAAATGTTGTAATTATGCCAAAATTCAATATAAACGGAATGAAACTGATGCTAGCACAATTAAGCTTTCTCAAATACATGTGGTATTACCAACACCAAAGATTTTATTGTGTAGAGAAATAATAAAATGAATTTAATACTTCTTTAGATGTAGATGGTTGATTTGTTATACCTAATCCTATTTTTCACTAAATAATATGTTTTATTTTATGTCAAGTACTAGGGCCAGGTTGCGTCAACTACTAGTGAATTCATTTTTTAATGTCAACTACTAATGCTTTGAGTTGCAATAAAAAAATTAAAAAAAATTACTGACTTGTATTTTTAATGTACATGAATAATGAATACACTTTTTGTTCTAGAAGTACACCATTGTGTTCTGATATTCAGTTTTATTCATTTTGTAAAAAAAACCTGCAAAATACTTTAAAAAAACTAAATTATCATCCTTATAGTGTCAATGACTGGTGCTTTTACCTTATTTTCTTTTAAAACAATAAAATATAAATATTTTATTTAAATAAATTATTGTCTCGGATTTTCTTGATTGATGTAAAGAAGTCTGACGAAAGATAAAACTAAACCTTTCGATCAACAATCAGTGTTAAGTAAAAAGCTTTGTTAAATAAGATGTTTTTTTGGTTAACATGAAACTTTTCAAAAAGTGGGAGTATTAAGATTTGCTTTTGTTTTTGCAAAGTTTTACATGTTTTGTTTTTGGTTTTTAGAAAAATGACTGATATATGTAATACGTCAGATTTTGATTAAAACAGTTCTTTCCTTTAAGTCTTGGTTATTGCTTTTTTTTCGGTCCTCTCAACATATTACATATATCAGTCATTTTTCTAAAAACCAAAAACAAAACATGTAAAACTTTGCAAAAACAAAAGCAAATCTTAATATAGAAGTAATTCCCATTTTATTGCGGAGTTCTTCAAATTTCTTTTTATGCAGCCCCTTTGTAAAAATGTCTGCTTCTTGATCATCAGTTTTACTAAACATCGGTATAATATATAACCTGTTGAGAGGACCGAAAAAAAGCAATAACCAAGACTTAAAGGAAAGAACTGTTTTAATCAAAATCTGACGTATTACATATATCAGTCATTTTTCTAAAAACCAAAAACAAAACATGTAAAACTTTGCAAAAACAAAAGCAAATCTTAATACCCCACTGTGCGCTAATTATATAACCTCAAATCAATTTATTTATGTTTTCCGAAAAAATTACTTAAGGCGATCTTTTTGCCGCCTTTTTCTTTTCTTATAAAATGTTCTAATTTCTCATTTTAACAGACCAAATTTCAAATAATTAAGCATATTAAAAAAAAATTACCTCTAATAGAGCAATGTCCTTGCTCCACTGTCTTATTTGGCGTTATACTCGTCCTAGTTTGAGCCACTATCACACAATCCTCTTCACTACCGTTTAAATCACCATTCACCACTTCCTTCGCAGCAGGCATAGATTCACACTGCACATCGTCACTACGTACACTCACACTCACTAACTCGACACTAGCTCCGCTACTGCCATTGCTGACGTCGCCGTCAACCGGACTCGGATCCGGCGATGATGGAGACTGTTCCGCTTCGTCCGCAGTACTTAAATCCTCCTCTTTGAGTCGGTTCGCCTCGCGTTCCTCTAATTTCTGCTGGTAGAGCAGCGACAAAGCCGAGTTCTTTTGGAAGCAATCCTCGACTTGGACTTTGATTTCTCGTAGTTTCGAGTTGTTGGTTTCTTCTAGGAGGATTTTTTTCTTGTTCGAGTTTGCGGTGCGGTTGGTGGGGGTGCGTCGACGAGTCTGTTTGTTTTCTAAGTCTTCTTTTGTGTTGAAATTATTACGGGGTTTCGTGGATGACGGTTCTGTTTCGTTGGGTTTTCTTTTGCGGGTCTTTGCTGATGATCCTGTAACAAAAAAACAATTTATTAAAGATACGTTGCCACTTAAAAACAACACTTTAAGAATCCATTCATTCTTTACTGTATACACAAACCGTCTAATAAACAACGCTGATGATTTTAAACGAAATTAGTGAATTAATTAATTAATTAATTATCCTGACCTGTTTAAAACAGTAATTTATCCACGTTGGGCGCCAATAATGTTACCTCTATCAAAACGGCGCATTATCTTCGAAATCGATCTCTGTTTGAACTCATACGCATCGTAATCACGCTAACAAATAAGCGGAAACCGTAACGTTGGTATTATAACGGTGTGCCAAGAACCGAACGGTTGAACGTAACTTTCCGATTATTTTTCCTGATGGCGCGCGATCCATAAATAAAATGAAAATGGCAGGAGTAGCAGCACCATCAACGTCGAGCGTTTAAAAGATACTAAAATTCCTCGTCGAATCGTTATCTATGTATAGATATCGCAAACAAAGCCATTATGCTATCACGGCACGCTCAGCTGTGTGTCGGTGCATGTATAGCGAAAAAAAAGTTCGAGTTTGACCTTGAAACAATCTTTATACTTTTAAATAGGGAATATGTATGTAGGTACTTAATATTTTAAATTTTAAACAAAATTTAGAGATAACAATACCGTTCCAACAGTAATCAATTAGTTCATCTAAAAATAATGTTATGAGTTAAAATTCTAAATTTATATTATACTATCAAAATGTCAGAGGCATTGGAACAAAAACTACCCAATTATTCGACAGCATTTTAGTAATTACACAATATGCAGTTTACTTTTTTTACAGCAAGCTGGTGTAATGATACGATTCAAGACGGAGAACTATTTGATCTTGCAACTTACGATGTTTACAGGGTTGATCGGAAATATGAAATAACTAATTCTTCAAGAGGTGGTGGAGTTATTTATATATGCCAATGCGTTCACCCGGCTACTGCTTGTATAGAACGATATATAATATGATTTCTATTTACCACGAAATTCTATGAATATGGTCATGGATTTTGTAGATTTTAATCTTGGGAGGGGAAAAAGAGTCTTGGCCACCTGGAGTCGCCTTTTGAAATATTCTGATAATTGGTTTGACAGAATTGTCACTTATTTAAAAAAAAAAAAAAATAGTTGCACAGTTACCAAATATGGACTGTGATTAGTAGATTTCATATACGTACAGTATCCTTACTAGCATGGATATGAAATTATATTCGTTTGAACGCAATGACCTACTTTTTACTTTCCTATCTGTATACAGATATAAAGAAAGTATAGGAATCATGATTTTTTTCGACCTCCAGTTTTCGACAGATTTTTACGTTTTGGGGTCCCCTGAATCCGTTTTGACTATTTTCGGGATTATGTCTGTCTGTGTGTGTCTGTATCCACCATAACTCATGAACCGATACAAAGAAAAACACCAAATTTTAAACTTAAGCTTTATTCCGGCCTGCGGTGAACTGATTAGATTTTGGGCAGAGTCGGAACATTTGGGGGGTACTTTATTGGTGGTCATTTTTATATTTTATGGAATATATCCGTTATTTACGTTTGGAGAAGAAAATTCTTCAAATAAAAGTTACTTACAATATTATTATCTATAATTTTTGTTCAATACAAAATTTTCCTAAAATGGTCCGTATTTGAGAAATTTGACAAAATGTAAAAAAATTACTTTTTATAAAAATTGTTTAAATAAAAGTTGTAATATAATTCTCTATAATTTTTACTCCATACATAATTTCTCTAAAATGGACCGTACTCGAGATATTTGAGAAAATGTGTAAATTTCGAATTTTGAAGAAAACTCAAAAACGGATAAAGAAAAAAACATTAAAGTTTTATTTCGGTTTGAGGTGAAATGATTAGATTTTGGACGAAGGCGGAACATCTGGGGGGTACTTTATGGGAGGCCGTTTATATATTTTATAGAATATATTTGTTATTTACGTTTGGAGAAGAAAATTTTTTAAATAAAAGTAACTTCTAATATTATTTTCTATAATTTTTGTTCTATGCAAAATTTTCATAAAATGGTCCGTATTCGAGAAATTTTACAAAATGTAAAAAATTATGATTTTTAAGAAAATTGTTGAATTAAAAGATGTTTGCCATATCGATCTCTATAATTTTTGTTTTTTTTTACATGATTTTTTAAAATGGACCATAATGGAAAAATTGGAGGAAAATTTTTTAGAATTTTCGAATTAGATGTATGTGCAAAATGTTTATATATTAAGTAAACCTCTAAATGTTTACAGAGGTGCTACAATAGGTTGTACAAAATAACCGAAAAAAGACCGTAATAACTAGATAGGAAAGTCATGTGTTGGACACATCAGATTTTTAAATTGTTGGTAGGTATTATTCACTTCATTTGTAAGTTTTTATTTAATTTAAACAATAATTTTGTGTAATATCTTACGATTCGTTTTCTATACATTTTAGCATGTATTTGTTCGCTACATCTTTCAAAGGATGGCTTTGAAATACTTGTACAACAAAGGTACTTTCCAAAAGACTGGCCGAAATTTGAAACCGATTGCAGTTCCTACAGAAAACCTCCAGTAAAAAATAGCATTTATCTGCATGCAGAATAACAGTAGAATAGGTTAACAAAGCTACGAGGAAAACATCGGTTCATTCCACTTGCACCATATTGACATTGTGCACCCTAAAAGTAGACCTCTCTCTGTTTTTATAATACTATTATTGCAGGACAAACAATAACCGTGGATCACGCCAAACGAACATCAGCTTTATAACAAACCGCATTCAAATTGTTCGTGTTTCTGATTTCTTATCCTCTGGCTTTACCACTACATCTGGTGTCCCTCAAGGTTCACATTTGGGACCTCTACTTTTTAATATATATATAACAATGACATCCAAAATTGTTTTAAGAATTCTCAGTTCCTTTGCTTTGCTGATGATTTAAAATTATTCATGCGTGTAAATTCCTTACGTGATTGTATTTGCCTTCAAAAAAACTTGGATAACTTGGTCCAATGGTGTAGTACTAATGGAATGGATTTAAATACAAGTAAATGTCATGCAATCAATTTCAACAGAAAACATAGTCCTATTGAATATATCTATAAAATCAATGACATAACACTGGATATTATTACAGAGGTAAAATATTTGGGTGTGATATTAGACTCCACCCTTTCTTTTCAAACTCATATAACAGCCTCAGTTAATAAAGCATTAAGAATGTTGGGTTTCCTTAGAAGAACTACTTCTGATTTTCATAATGTGATGTGTTTAAAGATTCTTTATTGTGCCTTAGTTAGACCTTATATTGAATATGCTTCTTCTGTATGGAATCCTTTTTATGTATATCTAATCCATAATATAGAACAGGTTCAAAGAAAATTTCTACGCATTGTTGCATTTAAATCGGGTATTGTCCCGATCAACTTCAGATACAATTATGACGAATTACACACACTTTGTCATCTTAAGACCCTTCTGAGCAGAAGAAACCAAAGGGATCTTAAAATATTGTTTAACATTATTAACTCATCTGCCGATTGTCCATACTTGTTATCCCAAATTGGATTTTTTGTACCCTCTAGAGTAACTAGGAATATTAATACATTCTCTCAACCTTTTCATAGAACAAATTATGGTTCTCACTCTTTTATTCCTAGAGCAACAAGATCTGCTAACAGACTAAATGTAGAATGGATTACTTCTCCATCAGATTTTTCTATCCATTTATGTATATGTGAGGAGTAATTTTTAATTGTTTTTAATATTTATGTATTTAAATTAATTTATTATTATTATTTAGGATTTTATTACTATTTAATGTATGTAATATGTATTATCTGTAATTGTATTGTTTTAATGGGCTCTGACCCGTAAATAAATAAATAAATAAATAAATAAATAAAAAAAAAAGTGTTGCCAACTTAAGCTGACTATAATTTCCCCCCTAGCCTCAGTCACCCCCTCATCCATATCCTGGGTCTATGTTGGGACCCCCTTAGATATACATATATTTTAAAGATATTTTTATCACAGTTATCTTAGCAGGAGAAATTCAATGTTTATTTAGGTATATTGCATTAGAAAGTCGCCCGTATATACAGTGCTTTTCAGATAAAAGTATCCACCTTAAGTAACTTTTGAAGGACTGATTATTACAAAAAACAAAAAAATACGTCAATTAATATTCGAAGGGAGAGATATCGTGCCATATTTAAGTTTGCTAAAAAAGTCACCCTTTCACCCCTACTATCATCCCTTCAAATTTTTTTAAATGGCTTGCCCCATTTTTTTATCCAGTTTTGGATTGCTCTCGTTTAACTGATTTCAAAAATGTATAAAACATGGGGATTAAAGTAATTAGTTTACGATCTACAGAATTTTAAATTAAAATAAAATTGAATTGTGCAAAACTTTTATTTTAATGACAAAACGAATATTTCATTTTCAAAATTTATTATAAAATTGTTCAAAATGTCCACCATTTACTTCCATACAATGGTATAACCTAGATTGAAAAGCCTCCCTGACATTACCGAACACGTGTGCATTTAAATGTAGGCATTCATACTCTATTCTTTGTCGTAAATCTTCTAAAGATTCTGGTTGGGTAGCATACATTTTTGTTTTTAAATAACCCCATAAAAAGAAGTCTAGAGGTGATAAATCCGGTGATCTAGGTGGCCACTCCATCATCGAGCCTCTTCTACCTATCCAACGATTGGGGAAAGTTTCATTTAAAAATTGTCGTACTGGCAAAGCAAAATGTGGAGGCGCTCCATCCTGTTGAAAGACAAGCAAATCTTCAGAAAGATTATGATCATTTTCTATTATTGTAATAAGTGGATCAATTACTTCTCTCAATAACTCAAGATATGACTATCCATTTAAGTTTCCGTCTAAAAAGAAAGGTCCGACTATGTGGTCACCTAGGATACCACACCATACATTTAACTTTTGAGGATTCTGTGTGTGGTATTCACGAACA